ATGGCAACAATAATATTAGACAATGCTTTTTTAGCATCACTTTCTTTAAAAACATTCAAGATTTTCATTGCTTTTTGCGAATGTTCCTTCACAAGCTCTTTGGTTAATCCAATGCCTGGACCAGCTGTGACGATGTCAAGCAACTATATACATAAAAACATTATTTATAGATTTATAGAAATTATATGTGAATGTGTGTGTGTATAGTTTTATACCTTTAAATAATCAATGTTTTCAACTGATTCTAAACCTTTATCAAGTTCGATCAAAATCGATGGATCATGTTCAACATGGAACATAATTGGCGCAGCACATAAATTATATATGATTTCTTTATCATTGCTAAGGCATAAACCTAAGTCTAAGGAAGCCTGTAAAAATGTTCTTACGTTAGATTCTTAAATTATCAATTTTACAAAATTATTACAAACACGTATAAACTTAATGCATTAATTTTAAATACACTACCTGCCAAGCTAAAGCTAGATGCTTGCCAAATTTGTAACCTTCCTCCTGTATTTCCTCATTATGTCCTGCTAGCTTTAATGTACCTTGACAACTTTTACCGAGTAATGATCCACCACCATAAACATTTAAGAGCGTCCATTCTTTCAGTGCGTAGCCTGTAGAATCTTTAGGTGGTATTGACGGTATGGGAAAATTTTGACTGTCTCTGCGCGCTACAAATTCTGCTTGACATAAATCTCTTACTGCACTTGATATCAAGATTACAAGCTGAAAAGTAATACATCTTCCATGAATTTTGAAAAATAAAAAAAACTAGGTTCTTCTTCCCATTACTTTCATAAATAAAATGTCTATACTTACATCCTGATTTCTAAGAGCCGCCAATTCAATACAGCTATTGCCAAGCAAGTAATCACCACACAACAATGCTATTTTATTGCCAAAAGACATGGTGTTCAACTCCAATGATTCTAAAGATTCATTTGTATTTATATTTTCCAAACCTTTGTGTACCAAGTTGCTAGTGCATATCATTTGTGTAACTTCGGCCAATACTCTTTGGCTGAAAACATATTTAAAACTCTATCTCTCTATCATATAACAGGACAATATATATTATGCCCTTTTATGATTTTTACTTTCAAATTATTATATATATTATACCTGTGTAATACACCTGCAGCTTTATCTTCTTCTATTGGTTTTGCATTTAAATGGCCAGCAGCTTTAGAGATTAACAACACAATAAGACCAAATGCTTGTGCATTACGTCCATTATAAATAAACAAGTTCCTATTGTAAAAAAAAATATAAATAAAGTTTTATTTCTTTTTATTTATAAGAAAACATTGTCACACATAAGACTTACTTGGCTGTCTTTAGTAAGGGATGAGTTGTGCCAACCAGCTTTCTTAAGTGTAATGCAACATTTGCAATCTCATCGCTCAACAGCCACCTTAAACTTAAGAAAGACGTCGGATATCCAACAATCTTTTCTGCCTCTGACATTGTTTTATTCCAGTCTGTTTTCTGATTTACTGCTATTTTATTTTCCGCTTGAGTGACATCACTAAAATGATATCCGTTTTTTGCAGAAACGCAAATTGTTCTTTGGGTTTGAAAAATCTCATGCGATTTCCATAGATATGTAATCATAGGATTACTTTTTCTCCAAATTCTGAATACAGCTGTGTTTGTAGACATTGTCTGTTTTCTTTAAGTACTGTAATCTAGAAAAAATTATATTATTTAATTATTAACATAATTAGTAACTCAAAATTAATATTCAAGTATACACATGAGTTTTAAAAAACATTTAATTTTCTCTATTTTTAAAATAATTAGAATAAATGATAATCATCTAAATTAAAATCATTTAACTAAAATCACTTTAACACTAGATCTAAAAATAAAGAAGAATGTAAACGGAATATAAATAGAAAACTATACGTTTCTTCTCGATATTTAACAGAATGAGTGAGAGTTATTAAAACTTTCTCTTTAGACCTAATTTTCAAAATCTTCTCATACAATTGCATACTTTACTCATGTGTTAAAAAAAAATACGTCAAAATATATTTAAAAATTTTTAGCACAAATAGCTAACATTAATGTTACATATGATTAATATCTATGAATTTCTTTAAATTTTTTACGTTCGACGAAATGCGAATTTACGATGTTAATTCACTGGAAAACCCTTAGATTACAAACTTCACGTATTTAAAGTAATATAAAAAGAAAAAAATGAATAACATATGCTACATATGTTACAAGAAAAATGCAATGTAATTACTTGCAATGTAAAAACAGGTCACATTCTTTACGTTGTACATACGTGTGAAAATTAACAGTGCATAACAATCGTAAAATTTTTAATATTTTGTTTTTAATAGTATCGAGACTTACGTATTGTTGGATGGACTTTAATTAGAGATCAAATGACAGAAATACTACACACTATAAAGATTATACAAATCAAATCGTATTCTCGAGCATGGAATGTTGCTCTACGTCACGAAGACCGATATTAACCAATGCAGATCAAAACCAAGAACTGAAAAGTCAGCTGTAATTGGCACACAAGAGTGAGCTTTGAGGAGTGAGGGTCCACTGTGGAAGAGAGATAGAGAGATTTAGGCTGCTTTCCTTTTAAGAGACAGGTTAACACACTCGAACACAGCAGAACACAGTTCGCTTCAGGCTGCGTTCCGTAAAGAGCATATGCGCGCATGTATCTACAGTATACGTTACGTATACTATGTTCTGCTGATTTTAACATATTCTGAACAGGTTTATAGAATATTCTTTATAAACAAAAATATTCTACAGACATATATAAATGATTTCTTCGAGAATATACTCATAAAAATATATTTGATGCAACGTAGAATATTCATACAATATTGTGTGTTATCTGGGTTCTAAAATAATTAACTACAATCAATTCGTCTTGAAGTATTCCCCAAAAATTCATTATAATAAATACTTTGTAACTCAGTATTTTGAATACTTCGAGAATTCATAAGGAATTAAAAATATTTTATTTGTTTTATTTGTATTGGATAGGTTTCTATTAGAAATCCATATTATTTTCATGATAAATGACGATATAAATCCATTATAAATGTCTATTAGACATCTGTTATCGATGTTTGATAGAAGTATCAGTATCCATAGTAACGAATATTGTTAGGGCATCGTCGATCTCAAACGTTTCGGCTGATCATTCTTTAGTGCTAACGTTACAAATCTGTTTAGTAGAAAGATTGTGGTTTTAATTCGTCATTAATAAAATTATTTGGAAGTAAAGTCACATATGTGATTGCGAGATAAGTCTTGTTTATGTAGGTGTTAACAGAATGTCACCATGTTCTCGACTGTCTCACAGTTCTCGACTGTCTCACAGTCGTGACATTCTGTTAACACCTATGTATGGTGTGAGCCTGGGGTAAAATGAATCGTAAGGTGTATAGTAAATTTAGATTGATGTCAGGATGTAAAGAATTTATTACTCGGTAAAATACACCGTAAAATACAGTATCAAGGCGCAACGCATGTTAACGCTTGGACGGTTCGACTCAGACTCTCTTGTCCGAAGTGACGCTCATGCAGCCCAACTCACATTACCTTAGCTCGATCACGTGAGCCAATGAGAACACAGAATTATTGCCGTCGGCGGAAACCCACCGGATTGGTCTGGGGAAACCCAAGTAGCCAATGACGACTCAAGGCTGACATTCACGCTTCAGATTGGCTGGGAACACAACACTTTAGTGACTAGCCTCTTACACCTATATAAACAAGACTATTGGCCGGAGCACAGACTTTTGCATAAAGCATAACGCATAAGCATAAGGAAATTGATTGGTCCATTTCCTTATGCATTTGCTTATGCTTATATATAGACCAATCAATTCCTTATGCTTATGCGTTATGCTTTATGTAAAAGTCTGTGCTCCGGCCTTATCTCGCAATCACATTTGTGACTTTGGGCTTGTTCGTTTTAGCTGCACTGGGGCAGCTCTGGGTCTGCTCTAAACAAGATAATACAGGACAAACTATTTATCTGTCCTGTATTATCCTGTGTAGAGCAGACCCAGAGCAGCCCCAGTGTAGCTAAAACGAACAAGCCCTTTACTTCCAAATAATTTTATTAATGACGAATTGAAACCACAATCTTTCTACTAAGCAGACTTGTAACGTTAGACTTGTAACTGAAGATGGCTGAATGATCATCCGAAACGTTTGACATCGACGATACCCTAACAATATTCGTTACTATGGATACTGATACTTCTATCAAACATCGATAACAGATGTCTAATAAACATTTATGATGGATTTATATCGTCATTTATCATGAAAATAATATGGATTTCTAATAGAAACCTATCTAATATCCATCGTAGAGATAGATGTAGTATGGAGTTATGGAGATTATATGGACGTCCATTGGATATTATGTTCCGTGTGGATAATAAAGAATATTTTTTCAACCTATCTGGAATATTAAAATTGGTCTCATTTAAACGTTCTATGAAGATTTAAAGAACATCTTTTAGTACATTAAAAGAGTATTCTAATATTTTCAACAAATATTTATAGAATGTTTATAGAATGTGTTTGTGTTATTTGGGTTAATTTTTAATTTTTATTTTCGTAACATTTTAATTTTTCACTCTTTTTACGATATTCCACAAGGTTTGACATTTGTGGTTAACTGGTTCAATTGACCTATTTTGTAATCTTAACAAGGTCGTTATGATACAAGATATGGAGAGAAGGTTACTTCAGTAAAACCGGTGTTGGCGAGAGACGATGAAGGAAGGGGGAGCATGATGAAAGAATAAGAGTAAAAGGAGAAGAAAAATTGGTAAAAAAATGTTGGTTAGAAACATTTTTTTGCTTTTAATTTTTTTTGCAATAACCAAATTAATACTATGGACATCCTATGTACATACATGTGATTCCGTCTCTATCGCCTCGTGTGCCTTACATAACGCATAAGGCATAACACATAAGGGAATCAACCAATCAGAGTCCTTCATTTCCATTCTGAGACATTCAAAAAGAAATTGATTGAATCGTCTATTTTAACTATTTATGAGTGCTTTCCAACAAGTTACACAGATGACACAGTGTGACACTGGGCTTGTTCGTTTTAGCTGCACTGGGGCAGCTCTGGGTCTGCTCTAAACAAGATAATACAAGACAAACTATTTATCTGTCCTGTATTATCCTGTGTAGAGCAGACCCGGAGCAGCCTCAGTGTAGCTAAAACGAACAAGCCCACTGTGTCCAACACGAACTATTCCAACAGTGACACCATGTTACATTGCTCGACACAATAAAAAGCTAAGTACAAGCGTGTAAAATGTTCCAGTGTTACCAACATTTTAAGAAATCTTATAATTTTAAATGATGGTAATACTTTTGATCATAATCTATAAATGTAATAATACAACGATACGAGAGAGCGAGAGTACAAAATTGAAAATTGTGAAGCTCTATCTCTATAAATTTAATCTCAATGAATTATATTTTGGAAGTTAATGGTAAAATAAAACATTAAAAAATACAATAAAAAATATGCCATACAAATTTTATTACTTATTATTATCAATAAAACATTTGTTACATATTTTATTATATTTTTCAGAATTCACGTGCAAACATTGTAACAACGCAATTGCTTCATTGGATCATTTTGCTAACATTACTGCTTATTGAAGTATCACTATGGCCGGTATTCATAATCCGTTCTTATATTCAAGATCGTCTTAAGCATGAACTTATATTCGCTCTCTTCGTCAGACACAATCTATGTGTGACGAAGAGAGCAAATATAAGTCCGTGCTTAAGACAATTTTGAATATAAGAACGGACTATGAATACCGCCCTATCACTACTTATCTCAGCAGTTTTAGTCAAAGTAAATATAATCTTACGATTCATCATCTGCAATTCACATAAAAGTAAAATTAAAACAAAATTTAATCAAAATATATCCTCATTCAAAATTTGGTTAACTATAAAAATTAATTACAATAATTTTTGTTATTACAATAATGTCAATCTCTTCTAGGCCGGTATTCATAGTCCGTTCTTATATTCAAGATCGTCTTAAGCACGAACTTATATTCGCTCTCTTCGTCAGACACAATCTATGTGTAACGAAGAAAGCGAATATAAGTCCGTGCTTAAGACAATTTTGAATATAAGAACGGACTATGAATACCGCCCCTAATTTCGTTGTTACAATAATTACAATAATGTTAATCCCTCCTAGTAATAAAAATGGAGAACTATAATGCCCTCTACTGAGATTTTCAGAAATTAGATTTACACTTTATCGTTCCAACAAAAGTTTCACACGGTGTAACACAGTGCAATTTAGCGTGTTCTAGTTGGAAAACATCCAGTATCATAACCAAGATCTATAGAGAGAAGGTTACCTCATTCGCAAAGAGGGACGAGAGATGCTGTCCACGATGCTAGAAATCGGTCTGAGAAGTGTATAACCAATAAACTTGCATTTTTTGTGGAAAAACGGCAATTTTATTGGCTATATGTTTCTCGGACCGATTTCTAGCATTGTGGACATTGGCCTTTACATGACATAAATATATATATATATATATATATATTTATGTCATGTAAATATGCAGTTTAGGTACGAGACGGATCTCATGTGTGCTGTTTGTTTCATGGTTGATCCATATCGTGGTTATGGTCCTCATGATTACATGATTATCAAATATTATCTGTCCGTAATGACATTTATTTTAATAGTTATTTAATATCTTTGTCGTTATTAGAAAACAATTATAGAAAAGAATGTTCAGCATACTGTGCAGCCGTATATTGCGCAAAGTACCATGCGACAAGAAGCTGTGGAATATGAAAAATACATATTACACGAGTGTCACGACACAATTAATTTTATCTAATAAATTCTACATTGTTGGACGTAATCCCGCTTTTTCTCTTCTCGGCATCAGGGTAATATATTCAAAATTCATACATTTACAAACATATATTTAATCAAATGCATACTTGCTTTTAATCATTAATAATTGTGTGAACATTTGTACATAGAATTTATACATTTGTCATTATTCATTGTGATATCTTCTAATACTTACGCTTATATTTCATTATTTATAAGACATTTATAATAATAAAATTAGATACATGCATTGTAATTATCCCGTACAATGTTTTATTAATTTTGTAATTGTTAATTTTGTTTAATTTCAAAGTTTTGTGTGTGTGTGTGTGTAAAGAAATAATGATATAAATATTACACTATGACACAGTGATGTAATATGATAAAAACAATTGTAAAAGATTTATTACGTAATTAATTTATTCAACATACAATAAAAATTATCGTTATATTGCTCCCACAGATATAATATCTACATTATACGATGGGGCGAACGTTGAGAAAACGTCACCGGAAGAAGAAGCGCGATATTCTAAAATTAAATGAAAATACTGATGAATTTTTATTACACTTAAAATCCTGGCTTCTTAATGAAAAATGCTTATCGATTTCTCATTTGATACCAGAGCATTTTCCTCTCACAGGCAGAGGCTTAAAAACATTCAAACATATAGAAAACAATGAAATACTGATTCAATTGCCATTTGAAATGTTAATAACGACAGATATATTGTTGCACAGTAATATTAAAACTTTATTTCTAAATAATACTGCTGATAGTTTTGATCCTCAATGTATGCTTGCAGTGTTTCTTGTATATGAAGTACATTTAGGAACAAATTCAAAGTGGCATTTTTATTTAAAAACTCTGCCACAATCTTTTACAAATCCAGATTTTTGTTCCAATAAAGAGAAAGAGTTGTTACCAAGTTTTTTTCTAGATTCTTTGCTTCAAGCACATAAATTAGAAAAGAATTTTTCTTTAATAATGAAATCTATAAAACACTTGGAAATTATTAATAGGGCCTGTTCTCATTGCAATGTACATCTACAAAATATAATAACATTTGCGAAATACAAATGGGCATACTATGTTGTTAATACAAGAGCAGTATATATAGATACTAAGTTATGTAAGGAGAACATATTTAATATAAAACAACCTAATAATCTAGCTCTAGCACCCTTTCTAGATCTATTTAATCATGATGTAAATGCTGCTGTTAAAGTATCTGTTGTCACGGATGATTCTCAAAATCAATTTTATCAAATTGTCACTTTAAAGTCGTTTGATAAAGACTCGCAGGTTTTCATTAATTATGGTTCACATAACAATCTCAAGTTATACATCGATTATGGATTTTTCATTTCATGCAATCCACTAGATGAAATCCATTTTGATATTTTTGATATACAAAAATGTCTTAACATTTCAAGGAATAAATTAGATTTTATTACGTTCAATAGTTTCCACAAGAATATGTCATTCACTCGCGATGGCCTAAATTACAATGCAACAATGACATTATTTATATTGAGTACAAAATTAGAAAAGAACTATTGGAAGATAAAAATATATGGCGAAACGTTTGATTCAAATGAAAGGTCTATAATTAATAAGTTAGGAATAAATATTTTAAACTTGAAAAGAATAGAATACACATGTGCTTTAAGTAATATGAAGAATGCAAAATTTAAAAGTCAAAGTTTTTCAATCGCAATTGGTCTTGTAGAGGAATATATTAATATCCTAGATATGGCATTTAATCATATGGAAAAAACAGAAAAAACTACATACATAGAGCAATAGAAATTATAATCTCAAGATAAACATTTATCATCTATATTTAATATTTTAATAGATTATAATAATTATAATATAACTATATTAACTATAATATAGAATATACTTTAAAACATTTTTGTACATATGATTTTATAAGCTATTGTGATAATAATAAATTCTAATCAAAGCTTCTCTAATTTCTTTTTTTCTTATCCATTGCAAAATATAAATATATTTATATATTTAGAGATATTCTAAAAATGTTAAATATTTTTTGAAGAAGGACTAAATTTTTTTTACATATGTTTATCACAATTCATTGTGTTACATATTTTGTCATTCAAGATAAAAGTAAAATAATTTTTTTTTCAAAATTTAATTTGTCTATGAAACATTTATTACATGTTTATAAATATATATTTATCATATTTCTCTTAAGTAATATTTGATTAATTATAAGAAAAATTGAATAAAAATTAAATCTTGGTATTTTATAGTGTTGTAGTGGCAATGTAATCGACCGTGCTCAGAAGAAAAAGAGTGTGCCACAAGCTGAATCTGTCGTGCCACCAGTGAAGTTTACTTCAGTCGTTGATACCTTAACCGGAGCAAAACCTGGCCAGCAAAAGAGAAACTGTTTTCATCCTGGTGTTTCTGGTTTGAGCAGAGATGCGCTCGATTTGCAGAATAAGTCATCGGTTACTAGTGCGGACATGCTAAAGGCGATGCTTAGATACATCTGGCCAGAAGTAAATAATATTATTTATAATTACTTATAATTTACAATATATACAGTATATGAATTATATGTGCACAGGACGATCCAGAGATACGCAAGAGAGTTAAAATAGCAATGGGTTTGCTTATAGGAGCTAAAGTCTTAAATGTCCTCGTACCATTTATTTTCAAGTATGCAGTAGATACTTTAAACACTCATACTGCAGTCGCCACAGGCAGTGCCGTTATGGGTTTAACAACCGCGCCTGCAACAGTTGCTACTGTAGCAACATCTCTACTTGTAGGATGTAAGAATATCAGTATTTTACTCTAAAATATTTTAACATTCTCGTAACGTATGATTTTATCTAATTCGAGATTTTCTTTGCAGATGGAATAGCGCGAGCTGGAGCAGCGGGTTTTAGTGAACTTAGAAATGCGGTCTTTGCGAAGGTCGCGCAGCACTCTATCCGTAAAATAGCGAACAACGTTTTTTTACATCTGCACAATCTTGATATGGCTTTTCATTTGAGCAGGCAGACTGGTGCTTTATCGAAGGTAAAATATTTTGTTTCTGAATATATCATTTTAGCCAAGATTGAATATTTAAGAAAAACTATGTATGCTAAAGTTAAAAAATATTTGTATCTTTTGCAGACAATTGATCGTGGTAGTCGTGGTATTAATTTCGTCTTAAATGCTATGGTGTTTAACATTGTGCCTACAGTGTTTGAGCTAGCGTTAGTTAGTGCAATACTGGGAATAAAATGCGGACCAGAATACTCAGCCGTAGCGTTGGGCTGCGTGGGTGTTTACGCTGCATTCACGCTAGCCGTTACACAATGGCGGACTAAGTTCAGAATTCATATGAATCAAGCGGAAAATGAAGCAGGCAATAAAGCGATAGATTCGCTTATTAATTATGAAACGGTCAAAGTTAGTAACAAAGTACAAATTCCACTTAATTTTAAAGATATAAAAAGGATACTAAAGATATAAATTTTCATTTAGTATTTTAACAACGAAAAGTTTGAAGCGGAAAGATACGATCAGTCTTTAAGGAAATACCAAACGGCGTCTCTCAAAACCAGTACAAGCTTAGCGATGTTAAATTTCGGTCAGAACGCTATTTTCAGTGGTGCACTAAGTCTCATTATGGTAATGGCTGCACAGAATATAATAAATGGTAATCATATATTTTATAATTACTATTTAACTATAAACTACTACAGTTACTAGCTAATATAAAATCAGAATTATTTATAGAAAAAGTAGTTTAACGCATGTTATATTTCTTTTCAATTTTTTGACTAGGTACTATGACTGTAGGCGATTTGGTGATGGTGAATGCTTTGTTATTCCAACTCTCTGTTCCATTAGGCTTTCTAGGGTCTGTCTATCGAGAAGTTAGACAAGCCTTTATCGACATGCAAACCATGTTTACTCTCATGACAACAGATACTGCAATTAAAGTAAGACCATGTGGATCTAAAATATAAAAAAATCTCAGTTATTACATTTATGAAATAACTTTGTGTAAACTGCGCTTTATTAACAATTAAATATTTTTCAATGTTTTATTACAGTCAAAGGATAATGCGTTAAGATTTTACGTGACACCAGATTCGTCGGAAATTCAATTTAGAAACGTAAATTTCCAATATGTTGAAGGAAAACCTATTTTTAAAAATGTATCCTTCACTATACCTAGTGGCAAGAAAGTTGCTATTGTTGGAGGATCTGGTTGTGGGTAAGGTATTAGGTATATAAATTCTTTTACAAAGATTAGCCACTGTTAATAAGGAATATGTAATAGGTGTCGATAACACAATTTCATACAATTCTTTATCATTTTAGTAAAACGACGATTGTGAGATTGCTGTACAGATTTTTTGAACCGCAGAACGGTAATATCTATATCAATGGCCACAATATCCGGGATGTTGATTTAGATGATCTCAGAAATTGTATTTCAATTGTACCACAAGTATGTAATCACAAAATAACTTAATCACTTTTTTCTTCCGTCCTGATAATTTATAAAGGTCCTTATTTTATGTACGAATACCACAGCATTTATAATTTGTTATAAATTTGCAGGATACAGTGCTTTTTCACGACAGCATATTCTATAATCTGCAATATGGTAATTTGAGAAAAACGCGTGATGAAGTTCTTGAAGCTGCAAGAATGGCGAATCTACATGACTCTATATTAAAATGGCCACAAGGATACGATACACCTGTGGGAGAACGCGGCTTGAAATTAAGTGGAGGCGAAAAGCAAAGGGTAGCAATTGCCAGAGCAATTTTGAAAGACAGTCCTATATTAATATTTGATGAAGCTACTTCTTCGCTGGATTCCATTACGGAACATGCAAGTTTTAAAAATTAATAACGCGTTATTTAAAAATTCTTAATATTCTTTTTAATAAACAAATATATTTTTACAGAACATACTTGACGCTCTGCGTAAGGCGACAGAAAAACGGACCTCAATAGTGATAGCACATCGTTTGTTAACAGTTATGGATGCTGATGATATACTCGTTCTCGATCAGGGTGATCTAGTCGAAAGAGGTACACATGAGTCTCTATTATCCATACCAAATTCTTTGTACAGCAAATTGTGGGAAACTCAATATTTGGGTATGAAGAAGCCTCAAGAACAGGAAGAAAGAAGCAAGGTAGAACAGTGATTAAAAACAGTGTAATTTAGGGGAAAAATGATTGTTATATAATATGAATGAAAGTCTAAAAATCTGACCCTTTTTAGAATTTATTACATTTGTACGAATAAAATTTCATAATTTGGACAATTTCGAATAATTTAAATTTTTAGCGGATGCAAAAAATAAAAGTCAGGTCAGAGATGCTATAAAATAAAGTATTATAGAGCTGTGCATATAAATTTATGGATATAAATTTAAAGATTACAGATTATAATATTTATTACGAAACCAATGCATGTATATATATTAGATATTGTTAATTATAATATTTGGTCTGCTGCAAATAATTGCTTTGCCAATCATTATGTACATACTTTCTTGTCAAAGTTTTGATCTATTCAAAGCAATAAAAATTATTTTGGAATATTTTGTATGTTCTTGAGAAAATGTGCCAATTGTTTTTACTTGATCTATATTTAATTTGCAACATATTTCAAAATTGATAAATAAAAGATGTGCCATTTTTAATGCTTAGAATGTAATTAAACAATTCAATAAAATAATTAAATAAAATAATTAAATATTCATTAAGATTTGAATTTTTATCTTCTGATATGCGTAAATCTAGTAGCGTTTTCAAATGAATGGATTTTGATTTCGACCCAAGATTAACTAATAACATCATTGCATCGTTTCCGCCAACAAAAGACTTGAATTCATAGTAAAATAATTAATTTTTCGGGATAATTGAATGATAATTTAATTCGAGATAGATCAAAATCCGAATTCATTCGAAATCGCTAAAAGAAATTTGCAATGTCCTTCGCGCGTTGCCGGTTCGATAAGAACGAGACTGAAAGAAAACAGTATATTTGCTCTCTTCTACTATTCGAAGCGCGGAACGCACATCTATGAAATTCTTGATTATGTGCGTTATTTTTTCTATTACGATTTATGCAGGACTTCGTCTCCATTCTGGCGTTACTGTAGATGTTGTCTTGACAACCATTCGAAACAATGGATTCCGCAACTAGCCTCCAAGAGGCATTTGACAGTTCTCTAACAACTTGATTCTATAAAGATGGATTACAGGCAATTACAATACGAGTTGTAATTTGTGCTGTATAAATATAAAATGCAAACTGAAGCATCTGTCTTGCCAGTAGTACAACTTGATGAACATAGATCATTTAATAGGTAAACACAGCTAACAATATTCTATTCTCACATATGATTTATTAACTATTTGCATTTTTTATTAGATGTGTTTAATATTTGGATAATATACAAATAAATGTATTTATTCCTGTTGAAATTTTGTTGAGTTTTTGAAACATTTATATAGATATTTTTTATTTTTTATATTTAAAGTTTATCATTATTACAAAATTTTACATGACATTATATTGCAATAATAATATTGTGAATCATAACATTGTAATAATAAAGAGACGGAAAGAAGAAGAGAGAAAATGTAAAGTTCAATATGCACTTTACTTTATCCATTTAATTTAGTGTATGTAATTTTTGCAGAAAATCAAAACTTAATTCAAAAACTCTATACTGGAATCCAAAAGCCAGTCTCTTTGCAGGAATACATTACTTCCACCAAATAAAAAATCCTTAAATCCCTTGCTTGGTTTGTATAAAACCTTAAATGACATTTGTTATTTTATAATATTTGACTATGTTATATATGTATGTACATATGTATGTACAGGTACACCATATAGAGGCAGTATCAAACAATCATTATCCGATGAATCAAAATCTAATAAAAGTGTTCTTGGACAAAGGGTAATGTCAGCGAAAATGTTACGTTTTAAACAATTACAAAATCAATTGGCTGATGCACACTATCATCTCAATGTAAGTTGAAATATATATTGAAAAATATGCCGATTTATTTTTATTTAATATAAAAATAATTTTTTTACAGGAACTAGCAAATGAAAATAGATTATTAAAGGCGCTGCAGAAGAGACAGGATTCTGCATTGAGGCGTTATGAGGGAACAAACGCTGAGTTACCAAGACTTATAAATTCGCATCACGAAGAATTGAGAGTGCTTCAAACAAAATATAAAAAATTGAAAGATTTACACAAAGATACATGCAATTTGCTAAAAGAAAAGGAAAATGAACTTTATTCTGTAAATGTGAGTTTTGCAGTCAGTGCACTTACATAATATTGCGACATAAATTTTTGAAAATTTTATTTTTTAGTCACAAAACAAACATCTCTTGCAACTTAGTAAAGATCGACATCTTGAAGAAAGAGAAAAATTACAGTTACATTTATTAGACATGAATCACAAAATGCAACAGCAACACGAAACTATACAGGTAACTTTCAATACTTGCTTGGTAATAAATAGAACAATAATTAATTATATTGTATAATTATGATTCAATATTTCCTTTGCAGCTATTACATAGGAAACTTGCACTTGAAACTAAGAGCTTGAAGCATCAACTACATGTCGAGATTTCCAAACATAAAGAAACACAGAAGAACTTACAAGAGACAATAGAGAAATTGAAAAATTTAGAATGTTTATTAGACAATAGAGAAAAGAGACTATATAATGGTCAGGTGCCGATTTGTACTAAACAAAAAAATCTAGGTAGTCATTCTCTTACAAATCTCAGGTATTTAAATCATATTTATGTGTAACAAAATATAAAAAATTCCAATATAAAAGATTTACACAAAGATACATGCTAAAAGAAAAGGAAAATGAACTTTATTCTGTAAATGTGAGTTTTGCAGTCAATGCATTTACATAATGCGTCATAGTTGCATCATGAATTTTTGAAACTTATTTTTTAGTCACAAACATGTATTTTTATTATTTTCATATTATATAAAGTATATAATATTAATATATAACGTTTTACATTTTCTCTACAGCATTACCAATCCAACAAAAGCGTCTAGTAGAAATAAAAGAAGTGAAAATGATATACCAAGAGATAATTTGGTGAGAATAAAATATATAATAAATTATATGCATTGAGTATGAAATAATTAAGTATTAATACGGTTTTATGAACTTAATTACTTAATTGTAGCCATCCCTTGATATATTGGAATCCAATAATGATGGAAAAGTGATTCAGGCAACAAATGATGTTAATGATCATTCAATGAATCAGCTAAAATCAGAGACAATGGCAAGCTTGCAGCAGATACGAAAGTTTCGATTACAAAGATCATCAAATATGCGTAAAAACGCTTATTCTATGGATGATATAAGATTTAGGCCTAAAGATACTGAAACAAAGACGCATAATAACGAAAAAATCACATTAGTAGACTCTAAAGTAATAGAGAGAGACGATTTGAATGATAACAATGAAAGTGGAAAATTAAGAAAATTATTTAGTAAAATAAAAAGCCAGAATTTACAAAAAGAACTGAAAATTGAATTTAATTATTCATCCGATGATAAAGAAAGTGATAGTAGTGAACATTATATTGAGCCTTATCTAAATACTGCACACAAATCTAGAGAATTATATGCAAAGTACGTAGGATATATATATTTTAAAAAATAATGTAAAATGTACTGCATAATTAAAATTTTTGTGAGATATCTCTATGTATAATCAATATAACAATCTTATTTTTGTTATTTCTGTTATAGATTAATCAGTAGCGCAGATGATACCTCTGATACTTTGGATAATATGATGAAAAGGACAGATCATTACAGTAACGAAGAAGAGGAAGAATTAAACACAGACCTAATGAAGGACTTAGCATGTCAGAAGCATTTGCAAGAAAGCAAATTAAAAGTATTACAACATTATAAAAACAAAAATATTTATGATAGTGACTCTGAAGATTCTGAAGAGAAGATGGATATAAATGGAGACACTTCCACAGAATATAAAATGAATGAATTTCAAATAAATTCATCTAAATATGCTAAGGAGCAGTTTAGTAAATCTTTCAATGATACGAATCAGCAAGAATACATTGTTTCAGAAATCAGAGACCAAATCTCTAAGGAGATTACAGGAAGATTACAGAATACAGAGTTACAAAGAATATCTGATGATACTTTAGATGATATCCATACGGAAAACGCAGAAGCTACTGAACAATCTTCAAAAGCAGAAAAGATATGGCTGGAAGACAGACAACTTTCGAAAAATAATGGAATAGATCATTTTTCCACAGATATTAAAAAGGAAGACCATTCAAAAGAAGAAGAGGCAAAATATTCAGAGAATAAGACAATATATAGTGATTCATCACATGGTAATCATGAGACACTTGAACAAAATAATGTATACGATGAAATAAAAAGTTTGCCAAGTCCGGAAAGGAAAGATACCAAGAAAAATTCTCAGCAAACTTACGAAAAGGAATCTGTAACTAACGATTCCGACGGAAATAATCAATCCACTCATAATTTAGAAAAAGAATATCTTAAGTCCAGAATAGAGGAAATGCTAAGTACAACGCAACACAGTGATAAAGAAATATTAAATAAAGATAATTTCAATGTAGAAACAAAAAATAAATTAAATACATCATTAGAAGCAGATGTAAGTACATTATCTAATAATGCGCATGTATCTCATCAGAATGAACAGAGTAATGGTACAAAAACTGAAATAACAAACACGAAACAATCAAATGAAAAAAAGAAAGTAATCAATTATAACAAAGAAAAATTATTGGCGACAATGCGAGCTATTGATGACAATGAAAATATTGAATTTCTAAATCAGGGATTCAGGAATCACAACATTAACAGAATGCAAATAACTGAGAATTTATATCGCGGCTTACCTGCACATTCAAAGCCAAAACGTGATATTATAAAAGATATATTTGAAGACAATCACATAGAAAATAAAGTTAGAGGCACTTGCAGTAAATCTCATTAAAATTTTAGAAATCTTTAGACAGAAGATTGTAGTAAATAGAGCAAACTTGTTTTTTTCCTTACCTTCCTCCATTCTATTAAACTTCGCATGCAAATATAGGTAAGAGGAAAAATATTTAAAGATGCGTGCGTTTATATATTTTTTCTAGTGTATTGAAGTTTTTATTAACTTATCTAAGTATGTCACTATATAAATATATATCTGAAATAAATTATATAAGAGAAATGTATCTATTTTATTTACTTCCGTCATGTATCTATTTTCTATGCAATGAGAGCAAGATTAATGGATATCATACCCATTTTTTAAATAAAAAAAAAGAAAAGTATAAAAACTAAAAATCTATAGAAACGAAGAAAATAAGTTTATAAAAATGTTCAAAAAATTATCTTGACTATTGTAAATTTTATTTTAGCTCTATTATAGCTGATAATTAATTGTGAAGAAGTGCGCAATATAATAAGAAAAAATAAAATATAAAAGTACGATTATATGGATAATTAATGATTAATTTTTATTTTTTATTCAGAACTTTTTGTATGTTGTAAATGTAGATAAAAATATACTACTTCAAATGAATAGTTGTCAGCTAGCAGCATAACGTGGCATAACGCGTAGTGTCGTCCAACTGTCAACATGTCACGAACAGGAACAAAACTTGATGCTAAAAAAGTGGCAAGTGTCCCAATTATTTTGAATGGATGTGCATGCGATATTAGTTCAATATTAGTAAATGATATATTTTTTTTTTATATTTACTTCAAACATAAAATTAGAATATTGGGCAGTTTCGAGGTTATGATCATGTATTTTTTTTAGTTTAAAGCAGAGAAAGTTAATAATTATTTTGTAGGAATGAATAATTAATGTACCAATTACAACAAAAATAATATTATATTCTTATGCATTACAGAACTCTGAATTATTTACGCTAACATACGGCGCAGTTGTGGCCCAATTGCTGAAAGATTATGAGAATGTGGAAGATGTCAACAAACAGTTAGAAAGGATGGGATACAACATGGGAATTCGATTAATAGAAGATTTCTTGGCACGGACTAGTTCTGGCCGATGTTATGACTTCAGAGATACAGCGGAGAAGATCCAAAGCGGTTTCAAGATATTTCTGGGCATAACACCATCAATTACAAATTGGAGTCCGGCTGGAGATGAATTTTCCCTATGCTTTGAAACAAATCCATTAACAGAATTTGTAGAATTACCAGATAATTGTTCAAATTTAAAGTATTGTAATATATTAACTGGTGTACTTAGAGGAGCTTGCGAGATGGTGCAAATGGAAATTGCCTGCTGGTTTGTACAGGATCAACTTAAGAATGACAATGTAACTGAATTACGTGTGAAGTTTGTCAAAAGATTAGAAGACGCAATACCGGCAGGCGAGGATTGAACATATATAGTACCTAAATGTATAAATATTGTGTTATTTATGACCATGTGTCACTTCAATGATATGGATTAAGATATATTGTAATAATTAGCCATGTATTTTTACTGTTTGCATTCCGTCAATTTCCATTTAAGAGTAACATATTAAAGATATCACTCTTATGTATATGTGGTAGAATCACAATGATAGTAAAATACATACAAACTTTGTTTAAAATTGTATTACAAGTTATTCCCTATCTATATATATACTATGATAAATAATATTTCTTTTTTGTAATTCTTTTTTATTTTATAAATATTTTATTTTCTTATATAAAATGTGTGTGTTGGAAGTTTTCTTGTTTTAGGTAATAGTTTTCTTCCAAATGGACTGGAACAGTCCAACTGTCTAGCATTGGTTATGAAGGTTATGTTTACAGATATCACACGTGAAAAGAGCTGCAAAATTAAATTTAAATCTTTACTATAGTTTTAATACATATATTTTTAATTTATATGTGTATGGTATAATTTGAAGAATTATATGTTTCTATTATGATATGCAGTTATTAAAATAACGCAGTAATAGAGAATTTTACTAAATTAGTAACAAATATTTTGGTGAGCAAGTACTTTGTTATAACTTTTATATATAAATTTTTTTCTATTTTACATTTTACAAGACATGTTTATTATTAAATAATAATTAAATAATACTAATAATTATTGTTTAGGTATTAATTTGACAAATTATTGTCAAAACCTCTGTTACATGTTTTTATATGATGGAAATAAAATGCAAGCATTGCTGTAAATCTCTTTTTAAAGGTAATTCTATCTTGGTTAATGCACATTATGAAGTAAAACAGAATTCAATAGATGTAGGATGTCAGGCAGATGAATCTGATTGCAATTCATACATAACTACAGAAAGTGCACCAGATTGGATTATGAATATCATCAATCAAGTATATCTTTTGTCTAAATTTGTAAAATATATGCTTGTGTGTCTACGAAAAATATGACTAAATATAATTATATTTTCAGGAATCTTGGACCAAGGGAAAATTGCATTGTCCACATTGCAACAGTCGTTTAGGATCTTTCAACTTTGTAAATGATTTAAAGTGTAACTGCGACAAATATGTAAGACCTCCCATAAGAATAATTAACTCTAAAGTAGACATACTATATGAAAATATAAAAGAAGCATAAATAGAAATAAAGTTTTACATTGATCACATATGTATTTTTGTATTATTACGTATTATTTATATATTTAAAAAACCATCTTTGAAACGCTAAAAAATATTCATAAATATTATGGAAAATATATTTCTAAAAAAATATCTTACCTTTTTATATGTACATAAATTATTGTCAATTTTATTACTTTAAATAATTCAAATTACTTTTTCTTAATGTGATTACAATGTGATGAATAATGATACCTGTTAAACTAAAATTTATTGTTTGATTTTTTATATACTTACATTTCCTTTAATTACATGTTTTTTAGCTTAGATATGTATATTGTAATTATGTATACATGAGGGGGCATCAAAGATTATAAGCTTAATTTATAACATTTATATATGTATATACATATATTTTTACAATAACAAGGAAGGATACTATGTACTATTTATTACTTACAGACAACATTGTCAATTAATGCTACTGTCAACTATATATACAATGTTAAAATTATAAGGTTTTTTTACACTATGTACAAAAACTGGATACATTATATATATATATATCTGATGTATAATGTACAATGTGTATCGTAGTCCAGTTGTTTATATTATAAATTAATTTATTCTCTTAGTTTCTGTTATTTTGCAAATTATTTATGATATAAATTTAAACAATAAATCCTCTTCAGCTTTTGAATCTCTGTGACTTTCTATTTTTATGAGGAATTACCATTAATTAAATTGCGGAGATTATGATATTTTAAAATAGATTAGGAATGATGAACAACATTTAATTTAGAGAAATATATTTTAATAATACTATACTTTGATGAGTTTAATATTAATTATGAAAAAGCTTATTTAACTAAGAATTAATATTAAAGGAATAAATTGATTCATTTAATAATCAACTAAGAATTAATATTAAAGGAACTAATTCGTTTTCATTTTAATAGTATCAGCCGTTGCCCCTTATTAATTTATTCATGATAATTTTTGCTAGGATTTTTGTGAACACAATGATAACACTTGCATATATATTTAATATTACATAAATGTCATACACATGATATATGTTTTTTTATCATTGTGGAAAATAAGAAATTAAGAACTTTTATATTAACAATAATAAGATAGTTAAAAGAAAATAAAATATATCATTATTATAACAAATAATTATTGTAAACTTACATTGCAAAGAGAGTCCATATATTTATATTTGTAATTTTGCACTATTTATTTTGCATTACTACGTAATAATTATTTTTCTTCAAATTGCCTTTGGTTTTTTTACCAAACTTCTAAGTTTCATAATCACAGTTTAAAAAATTAAAAAAAGAAATGACTTTAAAAAAATATATTCTTATGAGAATCCATATTTAACTCATATTTAACCAGAAAAAAACTGAGCATAGAGAGAACTTTTACATAATGCAGAGACTTGTATCCAAGGCACATATGGTCCACTAAGCAACATTACGTAAAACAGTTTCAGCATCTATGTTCAAACAGTATAAAAGTTAGTTGATCCACTCTTTATGATATTATTACGACAAAAAAGGTCGTAAAATTGATATACAATAATAGTGCAATTATTAAGAATAATGCTTAGACTAATTACAGGAATATGGTTGATCTTTCGACAGCAATAAGTCAGAAGAAGGCAATGTAATTCAATTAAATTTATAACTGGATCAACCAACATCGAATATGAAAAACAATCTCTTATTCGCATACATATATAGTACATCCTTTCATAGAAGCTTTTTAATAACAGTCGACATTCAGAATATTACAGCCCAATAAAATTTAGACGCTACAACTGAAACATTTCGTCTTGTTGCTGCTCGAGTCTTTGTAAAGAAGTTTTTACTTTTCTTCCTTGTGTCATAACTACAGCAGTTGGAAAATTATGCATATCACTAGAGGACGCAGGTCTTACAGGATCAGAGGAGGGTGACGAGTACGTATTTGATGCAGCAGGAAAGGAGTTTCGTGATTTTGCAGATCTGTGCCGCCGTTGTATGTACATGTCATTGCTATCAATACAGAACCTGCAATAAGATGATTTATTAATTAAAGCGTTGATGCCGCTTGATATTTTTCAAATGTATTGTGCTTAAATTTATAGATAAAAAAATATTTTATAAATACTTCTTTACAATTCTTTTTTATTTTATAAATATTTTATTTTTATAATTTTATTCTTTTTATATAAAATGTGTTGGAAATTTTCTTATTTTAAATAATGGTTTTCTTCCAAATAGCGTAACAGTCCAACTAGCATTGGTTATGTCAGTTTTTATTTTTTTTTTTAATTTGGTACTATATATATGCTTGAAAATGAATCAAATTACTGAATGTGTATAAAGCACAAGAAATAACTTACTCACTATTCCCTTGAGCACGTTTGACTTCTTTCTTGACATTAGCTATTGAAGTATCCATTTTAGCTAAGAAATCATTAACGGAACTTTCATCATCAATGGATGATGATATCGAAGAAGGACTAGATACCTATAAAAAAAACACAACATATTCATCTGTGAATGCTTTCTAATAGTTCACAATCAGTATTGATGCTTCGTATACCTTCTTTTGGATTATACTTACATTTGGAGGAATATCATGCTCATCAGAAGTGACTGATTCGTCATTGCAAACAGAAGCAGAACTGTCTGCACTAACAGGAATGAGTAAATGTTCTCGTAAAAATAAACTATCTGAAGCCCACAATTTATTAATTCTTCTTATTTGTTCTGTCTGTAAAAATTTAAATGAAAAAAATGTCAATTATCTATTGCGACCATTATTGTCTTAAATTATATTGACAATTATAAATGAACCATACCGTAACTCCATATTTTAGAGCTATTCCTTGAAGGGTATCTGTAGGGCACACTGTATGCTTTACTAAACTCTCAGTTCGTGTCATGTGCTTAGCTGTACTCCCATATCTCTTAGGTGCTTTCTCGGTATCTCGGATGCATCTACGCTCTTCCATTTCTCTGGCACCATTTCGTTCCATTATTAGGCCTTTATGATGCTCATAAATGAATGGAACATATCGTAATTCGTCAAAGTTCGTCTTAGATTACGATTCTCAGATCAATCCATTTTATTCGTATAATTTCACATAACCTGTCCGAGAATTTTGCGAAACTCAGTTAAACGATCTGTCGGTCTTCGGTGAAGCGAATGTTTTCGACACATCGAAAATTCGTATTGTTTCACTAACTTATTCTCTTTCTCTCTCTCTTTCTCTTAATTTCTTATGTACATTCTTGAGGTGACTTAAGAATTTAACACTTACGAGATGAAGAACAATAACAAGCGATTTAAGAAACTGGAAGCACTTTCATGCCTGAAACAGCGTACACGCGTGTGCGAAATTTTATCATTCTCTTAGAATCATTGAAAACTTTCGTTGACTTTCGTCGAATTGGTCACAAGGAATATCACGGGGTCACTGATACATATAAACGCTATGGCTGTTTGTGCTCAGGTGATTAGTGCGATCGCTAGTGATCTACTAGTGATCGCATTCGGAGGTGGAAGAATATTTTTCTCATGTCAGCTACGAATTATAGTGTGTTTGCACTGCATTGGCTACTAAGAGATGGCATTATCTGACACAGATTGGCGTTCAAATAAAATTGCAGTTGCGAAAAAAATGCAGCTTTAAAAAAAATCCGTCACTTTACACACTTTTGAAGTTTTTGAAAAAAATATTTGGAAAAATTGTCTTTCCCATAAGCGACAATGCAAAACGTGCCTTGCTTTAAGTCACGTGTAATTACATAAAAATTGAGATAACGACCGCGCGAAACTTTCGGTCAAGAGGCGAATTTAAACGCTTTCACCGCGATAATTTGATTTTTTTGCACTTTATAAAACATTAAACGCGATTAAAGCGCAAAACCGACGATTTTGTGTGTGGGTATATAAAATAAGAAAATAATGGAATGAGATTTTAATAAAAAAATGTTCATTATAATACGTTACACAGTTATCTATTTTTAAATACAATATATTACAGAGAAACACACAATTATAATTTATTGTTATTAATAATATGTCTATTATAATTAGCTTATGATTATTATTATTATGTTATCATTACTATGTGCTAGCCTCGATGAATATATAAGGCAGCAGGAAAAATTATGTGTAATGGGAGACTAATTAATGTATTTTCTTTTTATTAGGGCAACTGTATCATCGATTATTACGATTGTATTAATCCCCAGTAGCTGTGCAACAGTAACGGCGATATTGGTAATAAATAGTTAACATAAGGATAAATATTACGCTACCGCGGCAGTGTACTTCCTGGATTCTGTGGGTAAGGGGTTGGTTCCTCTAATTATCAGGACTATAACGGCTAATATTCTACATGATAGACCCCTCCCCGCTATTTCAAATAGTATTTAACTACTTGATGATTAACATCAAGTAGCGTTATATTCAAAATTGTTTTTTTTTTTTGCTTCATAAACTGTCACAGACAAGTGTTACGGATAATTTTCATTCGTTTTATGAATACCTATACGATCGATTTGATTTTTTTATAAACCTCAAAAATGGTAGAACGATCAGAGTTACAACGGAAATTGGAAGTGTTTGTGGGTGGACACATAAAGTTATAAGGCTATCTAAAAAAGAATACGAGTACAAAAACTGCTCGATTTGATGTAATAGTAGAAATCATTTTGATGTAGTGAGTATCTCTCGGATTTACACATTTCACACAAACACTTTGGCGAGAGCGTCGGCGCCGGCGCTCGCTATAAACGGTCGTGACGGATGGAACGCTACGTCTAGAATACTTTCATCGAATTTCTTCCGATGCGCTGTTATCTCCTGAACACAAGTCTTGTTATCCATGTTCCATAATCTTATACTGCAGTCGTGACCTGTAATAATAAATATGGAAATGATAGTAACACATACATTGAACTTTAATTAGATATGATATTTAGGTATTTTAAAACTTTCTTATCGTAACAAGATTATTATTATTATTATTTAGATCATTAAGTATCGCGTTATACTTACTTCCTGAAAGTAAGTATAGTCCATGAGGATCTACAGCAAGACTAGTAACTGCGTCCAAATGCGCTACCATTGCGTGAGCGAGGGTAGCCGACCGGTGATCGTAAAATCGAATATGCCGATCCTCGTGCGCGGCCACAACGAGCGGTAATGTCGGATGCGCTACGACGCGATTCACGCCCTTTGTCTCGTTCGCCTCGAGCCGCGCCACGATCGCGCCTGTTTCAGTGTCAAATACCACGCAAGCTCCTTCATAAGCCACGACTAGCTTGTGCGGCTCGTCCCTGATGAAGTCAACCGAAGTTGGTATGCCGTCTATAAAAGAAAATAGGAATCATTATATGCAATCATCTACGGACGTATGACACAGAGAAGAAACTTACATTCAATCAATATTTGCTAGATAAAGCTCTGCGGATTTGAGACTCTTTTGTTATTTTTACATACAACTTGCTAATCATTATCTAATAGCGCATTGTTTAATTTTAGAATGTTAGTGTTAAGCAACGTTTGCATACCTTGTTCCGAGACATACGTATTGAGAAGAGGTTGTGGGGCCTGTGGAGCCCAGAGTTTTACAGTTCCGTCTGCGCTGAATGACAGCATGGTAGGACGTAGATGATACATGCTTAAGCCCCAAACGGCGTTTGTGTGCCCTGTTAATGTATGACTAAGGACACTTGGTTCGTACGAGTCGTACGGATCGATATTAGCCGATGGAAGTGTCCAACAATGAATATTGCCATCTAAACCACCGCTATAACATCGATTACCCGCGCTGCACATGGCTAGACACAATACAGGTCCAGTGTGTGATCTGAATGTATAAAGTGGTTCTACATCTAACGAAGCTGACCTGTAAGAAGAGAAAAAAATGATTTACATCGTTAAAATAATACGTTGCAATTAATTAACTTATCTCATAATAAAATTTACAAACTTTTTTGCTGGTACAGTCTTATGAAGATTCCACAATTTCAATGTATGATCATCGCTCGCAGTGATAAGGACTGGATCTGTGGGATGGAAGACAAGTGCCCTGACAGCGTCGAAATGCGATCGTAACGTATATTTCGCATTCCACGTTTTTCTGAAGGTCTCTTTTGTAGTGGAAACCATCTATTGCATAAAATAATACCATTAGAATATTAATAAAGCATATAAAATCATAGAATACAGGAAGAGTTCTTGCAACTTACGTCATATGATATCTCTGCATCATTGTTAACACATAATTGCTCTAATTCTCCTAATTCCAGTGTGGAATCACCTTCTTTATTTGGGCGTCTTGGGTCTGATTGTAATCCTCTATGTAATGCATCTACAAGATAAAGTCGGATTATTTCATTGGAAAACAGAATAATATGATAAATGTATGGTATATACAAGTTTATACTTTAAAATATAAACTTGAAATACGAAATATATGATTTAACATATTGATGTTACTTACTCCATTCTGAAGAATTCATTTCCAGATGAATAGAACCAGGCGGTGATTCTTCAATTTCTGTGAGGAGATTTAATTCGTTTAATACTTCTTCTGCTTCTGCATCTGTATCAACATCCTCCGCTAGAAGGGGAATAGATGCCTGAAAGATAAAGATTATATTAGTGTAAAGCAGTATATACTTACAGATAATAAATAAATAAATAAAATATTAGAGTAAAATAATAATAAAAATTACTTTATTTGGTTTGGTCTCTGTATTTGCATCATAAATTTCATCTTCTACATCTCCTTCCTCCTCTTCCATGTCCATATCTGTGTGCCCCAAAAATTCAAAATTTGCTATAACAGCCGCTTCTGTATCTAATATCATTGCCTCTGCTATAGAAGATGGCTGTTGCTAAAATAAGATTATATTTTTTATAAAAAGATAAAAGGATTCGAATTGTTGTTTTTGTTAGTCTAAAATTAATTTGAAAACAAAAATGTTTATCTTTACCTTTTTTGGGGGTGCCTGTTGTTTTCCTCGGCGTACGAGACTTTCGTTATATTCTTGTTTATCTTGCGCTGTTCCCTCATTTCCATTTAACGCTGGAGTATTCATTTCTTCTGTGTCTGTGTTATTATTTAAACCGAGTAAAGATCGTACTCTGTTTGATCGTACGTCTATTATTGTATCAGTATATCCAATCTCTTGTAAATATCTGAAAAAATGTTGTTATAGACTTCATGGTAAGACTACATACTTATATTTCTTTTCTTATCTTTATTTAGTGTATTAACTTGAGTAAATAATAATAAAGAATAATTTTAAAACCGCATTTAAAATAAAAACAAATATTTTACACACTGCCTTAAAAGTTGACGGCCTTGTCTCCAACTAACATTACTGACAGATGTAAATGAAGCTTCTCCATCTCCTCCTCCACTGCCGCCGCCAGTACCACTGCCACCACCACCACTACCTTCAGAAACATTGCACGTTGTACCCTCCTCATAAAGAGGTGGTTTGATATCTCCTTGCATTACTAAGTCAGTACCATATTTTAATTTATGATACCTTGCTCTGTAGAAATTATAAGAAATTATATGTAACAAATGTTACTATAAAATATACACACACTATAGTGAGTTTAGTGATAATTATCAATAGTTAATACTACAATATATAATGTTGATATTTTTATCTCATTTATATGTAGCAATCTTGATAATTTAATTAGATTTATTTGATGTCTTGAATTTAGCAATATACTTTTTAACAAATAAAAAATAATAAAAATAATTATGCAATTTTTCTTCTTTTGTACCCCAGTATATATACATTAAATATTATTAATGTACAGAATAAATATAAATATTGTATTCAAAATTAAAATAATAATGGCAAAAATATTAAACTTTTTTGTTAATATTATTAATGACTTATTTACCTTTCTTGCTTAAGTGCATACTCTAACATTTTTATTCTCCTCACGAGGTCGTTCTTCAAATTTTCCTGTCCCTTTCTTTCACCCTGAAGAAAAGCTATCCTAGCCTGCATAATAAAATTTCAAAAAAAGAAAAAAATAATCAATGTCAACAGTATTAATGACACTGTTACATATTCCTATTTTTATTTTTATTCATATATTAATATATATAAATAATGTCTTCTACCAATATGTCTATTCAATAGTTTTAATACCGAGAGAAAAAGACACTTGCTACTTTTGACAACATAACAAATTAAAAGTAATACAATGCTAAGATTAACTGTATGGCCAACCTATGAAATACTCATTGTTAATATATTCTATTGCAAATATCTAATTAAAAAATTGCTATTGAATGCTTGGGTCTTATATGTTTCCACGATTCTTCTGTCACATGACAGTTGAAATGGCAATAAGCAAGATGGATAATTGTTGTGCGCTCACTCATACACGATTTACGATTTTTGCGTCACCAAGAAGAATCTGATCCATACCTGAAATTCTGCCCTGTCCAGTTCCCACTGGGACCTTTCGAGCTCGAAGCGGGCCCACTCGTGCTGGATAAAATGTAGTATACCAGGCATCGAGTACTGCGGCCGCTGGTCCTTGGCGTCGCCGTTGCTGCCATTGTCGCTGCCGCCCTGGTGCTTGTTGTTAGCAAGGGACACATTCGCGCCGCCAGCCAGCTGGCCGTTGTGATTCTGGGACGCGGGGCTGCAGCTATCCTCCATTGTGGCACCACAAAACTGGCTCGGCACCTTCATTTCATGACACGGCGGCCATTACAGCAACTTCCCTTTCTTCGCCGTGTACCCCGAGAGTGCTCTCCGGTCGGACAATGTATTTCGATCGGCCCGTCGGAAAAGGAGACAATTATTACGCATGCGGACGCAGTTACGGCGCCGTGTGTACGACTCGCACAAGAAAAAAGCCCGTAGATCCGCTCGTTTCGCAAGCTCTCGCCCGTGCTAACTTTCGGAAAAGCGAAGTCGGAATTGGTGCACGTAGAATCGTCTCCTCTCTATTGCGTCGGCCGCGCTCGTCGTCAACGGGTCAACGGGTGAAAGTAATCACGCGGCATGCCTCACGCCCAGTCGCGAGTTCGTGCACCTCGCCGATCCGCGTGCATCGTCGCCGGAATTTACCCTTTATCGGCGATTCACCGACATTCACTACCCCCTCACGGCAATCTTCACGCCGAGTGGATCGTTCGTTTGTTTTTCTAGTCCTTGCTACGCGGCGCGTTGCGTTTCACGTCAGCTTTTATTGGCCGTCTATCTAGTTACGGGCCGTTCCGCCTGTTCCTCTGACGTACGGAGCCCTCCATTCATCCCCGCGCGGCGAACTCTGTGGACCAATAATGCGATGTTGGTCGCGCAGCCGTGTGCATGTCAATGTGAACGTGAGTGATCCTGTGAAATGAGCCTAATCATAAAGTGGAATCTGGACATATAATGAACATATTTATATCGTGAACTTTTCCGTATTACGAACTCAGTTTGTAAAGTGAATGTCTCTTACATTGCTCTCCCAATTTGTTTTAATTGTGCACACAATTTTCATTCTGTGCATGTGATAGAAACAAAAGAGACATTGAAAAGAAATTTGAAATAAGAACGGTTTAATCCTGACAAGTTTACGAACAATGATTGCACTATTACTTATTCTTAAATTATTATAAAGATAAAATCGAAATTAGTTTGATTTGAAAGTTTTTTTATCATTGACAATGAGTATAATAGATTATGTTTAGTTTCACAAAATTGTAAATGTCGAATAATGAATTGTGTACGATTTTAACTATTGTCCTTATTCCAGTAGACAAAATGTTGGCAATGTTGATAAATTTAGTACAAATGCGCCAATGGCTATTAAGATATAGGTATTAAATTTCAATTAAAAGAGATAACATACATTACAAAGCTATGAAAAATAAAAAAAAGTAACTTTAATGTTTAAAAATCGCGGTTTTTACATTAAAGGTTTTTATTTTATAATTAATAGAGCGCATGTGCAGATCGATATTTAGAAATAACCGCATATAGTCACTGTCAAAAGTTTATGAACATCTGTATAAGGTTAAATTTTCTGATAAAAGAAGAAAGTTAATCAGATTTTTCGATTAAATTGAGATTTCTTTTATATTTATTTATTATAATATGAAAAGACTAGTTTTATATACATACGTGTATTTGTTTTACAGTATTGATTAGATTTACGATAATTTTTAAAAATAAGTTATACAGTAATTTCAATGACTAATCAGAATTACAGTTTTATTAAAGTTTAAAATAATGTTAACAATACACAGTTTAAAAGATTTTTTAAGAAATTTTTTGAATAAACAAAATAGTAAACTTTTATTCAATTGTTTTAATTTTATTTTTGTTTTAAAACATTAAAATAGAATGTGGGAAAGTTATTTCCGTAATTGGAAAAGTCACTTCACCTACACATCTCTAAATGTCAATCTGTTTAGCAGAATAGCCTGAAAGTTTAAGCTTATTATTGCAATATTGATTAATTAATATCAATATAAAATAATTGCTATGCATATATTTATCGGAATAATCAGAGTACACATACGTTATGTAATGGTGGATTTACTGTATACTGTATAACTGTGCAACGCTAAAAGATATACATATTAATAATAAAGCGCATGTGTTTAAAATTCATGAAGCATAATAATCATGCAATAGAAAAATAAAATTCTACATATATAATTTTCACGGAATAATGACAATAACGTAACGCAATGTGTTAGTTTTTATAAGATTTTTTCTCTATAACAAATTTTATTCTAATTAAATGTAATTATTTTAAGTATCTTTCTCTCTTTCTCTGCTTCCTTCCCTCTTTTGCTTCTTCTATTCTGTATTTTTTGTTATCTTTTTTCATGTTTTTTAAATTACATTTTTATAAAGTATTTTAATTGATCCTCATTATACACGATAAATGCCAATTTTACTTTTGCATATTTATTTTATATATGTTTTAAATTTTTTTATTATTTTATTATAAACTTATATTGATTATTATGTATTAGAGTAGATCTCATATATCCTAAATTTAAATAAATTTACTCTATTCTATTTTATTTCCTCTTTTTCTATTTTTAAGAAAAATAAAAAATATTTTATACACATATAAATATTTAATAATTTTGTAAATAAAAGAAATAATATCGTTTAGAAAAACTAGTAAATAAAATAGTATTTATTATGATTTGTTTTTGTAATAGATTAATTAATTTTGTTGTGTGCAAATTAGAAAAAATAAAATATAAAATATAAAAATATTTGAATTGTCAATTTGCAGTTGCAAAAGTCTAAGTTATAAATAACTTTATGTTTTATTTTGAGTTATTCAGTGTTCATTTTAGGAATACAAAGATTCCTAAGAAAATAGAATGAAGAATGGAGTTCTTCTTTTCTTGTTGTTTTTCTTCTCTTTTTTAAGTGAAGAAATGTATAATACAGCAGCAATTTATCTATCTGTGTCACATGCGAGATATCGCATTATGCTATACATACATACACACACATTCGCACGCCATATATACATATATAATTCTAAACAGGAAATTTTTCTATCTTGTATAGGATGTTTCAAAACAACCTGACAACGCGCAACGCATCATGAGACTGTCAAGTATTACGCTAGTTTTATGATGCGTTGCATCATTCCTGTTTGCTCATTAGCAAACTATTTTCAATTGTAATTAAAAAAGCTTTGGACAAAATTTTGCAAAAGGAATTAAAAATCGCTCAAGGATATAATATTTTAAGGACATCAGGCCCCTCAATTCTGTAACTTGTAACGATGTCGTTATGCATCATTGCGCAGGTTTTTTTTGGATCATGTAATAGCTGCGCAATAATACATAACGACAACGTTAAAAGTTACAGAATAGACCCCCAGGTTGTTTTGAATCACCCTGTATACTTCTTACGTATTTTTATTTATAATTATTTTTTCACTTTGTATGTTTATTAATTATTTATAAACGATTAATTATTCAATAAAAAAATTGTTTTTTTTATTTTTAGTAAATTTTACAATAGTACAATTTTTAATTAAATTCTAAGGAAAGGGTTATTATTAAATTTTATAAATAATGTTATTTTGTTTGATAATTAAAGATTATTATAGCAATTGTTTCTAAATTAGGATTTGTATAAAACAATAATTATAAATTTATAATATAATTAAAATATTATAATTTGTAATTTCATGAAATCTGACAAAGATATTTATATCGCAGATATAATCAAACAAAACTAAAAAGTGATTAAGTATTGGAAAAAAGAAGAAGAACAAGATGGTTTCTATACGATAAGCAACAATCTTACAATTAGTGATTGCTGAAGAAATAATACATCGTTGTATCGTTGTTTCAACACAATATGGTAAGCAACGTAATTCTAAGCATATTGATACTAATTATGAAATATATTGTGTTGTAGATGTTTTCTTTGTACATAATTGACGTACATTTAGTGACAATACAATGTATCATATATAACGAATTTTGACATACTTATATTCATTAAATTTATGATTGTTTATCAGAATTCTTTTGTTTGTAATTGTAGCAATGAAAGGAATATTCGCATAAACGTAAGAAAGGTTCTTCAAGGAAGGAAAAAAAAGAAGTAATCCTTGTGGTTAGGCTAAAATTGTTGGTCGGAGAATTTAGGCAACGTAGCGCATGCGCAAACGAGATTCCATATGGAACATATGACGATGTATACGTCGATAACTTTTAGATCTGCATTTATTCATGATTTGTAACAATATATTTGTATTTTTTTAGAATATATTGCTTCTCGTTAAATCTGAGATTTGCTGTATATCTTTAAGTTATCATAATTTTATCGTATTTTCCAAATCGATGTGACACAACGTTAAACGAAATAACGTTGTTAGAGAACTGGCAACGTTGCCAATGTCAGTTGTTTAGCTTGCGACGTTGCAGTTACTGGGTGGTTAAGAATCAGAAGTGCAGTTCGTTTCTAGCATATTTGCTATATAATCTGTAAATATAACCTATTTCCACGTGACAAAAAGTATATAAACCATTGTTTGAAATCTTTCTACGCAGTAATATAACGTAAGTTTATCAATTATCATTATTCTAATGCCTTAATGTAGACTTAGGTCCGTTGAATTTTCCATAATAAGCAATTGTGGGGTTCGAATCGTTGTCAATAATCGTTTTGTTGAGATTCTCTGTACATAAGTCTGAAAACCCTGAACTCTGTTAGAGTAAAGATTTTGAAGTTATTTGGGAGGTTAGGTGTATTTAAAGGTATAAAACCATACAATTAAATTTTCTACACTTTGTCAACTGAGCTAATTTTTATTTCAGTTTTCTTAAAATAAATACACCATGTATAATTAACCGTATTTCGACAGTGCATTGCCAACATTGGGCCTTAGGGCCCAAATTTATGTGCATTTGTTACTGTTGTGTATAGAAGGAAAGGCACCATTTTAGATAGCTTTATGTGCGCCATTTTGTTGTTCTTTCTTTTGAAGTGCATGCTGAATATTTGTATTAATATACAATTGTTAGTAAAACTTTATTATGCAACAAGTGCAATTCATACGAATACATCGTTTTCGCATCATAAATCAATAATATACGTATGCACGAAACTTCGGTAAATTTGACAATTATGTCATTAAAATTTGATGAGATCTTTAGATTTGATACAAATAATATTACGTTTTATGCAAATATATTACCTTCAATGACCTTTGTTTACGAATTATGTTTGTTGTTTATCACGCCATATCAGTGCTGTAAGGTCACCGATCGATTAAAGTACGTGCAACGTCATAACGATAAAATTTCCTCTATTTAGCTTAATTAATTTTTTACGAAACTATCAACAGATATTTTTTTATTATTTTCAATGTGTTATATCGCTATTTTATATTCATATATCATTTGTATGTTTTAACATATATCCAACACAAAAAATTTCGCTTTTTTCAAAAATATATTATGTTTTAATAAAAATTGTTTTAATAAATAATAATTTTTCTAACATCTATTCATCTTGTACTAGTCTTATGTTATATTGAACAATAATATTAGGTTATAATGGATTAAAGTTGAATTTTTTTTCTTCAAAACAAAAAAAAAGGAATTTGTAACCAAAATATAACAAATAGAAAGATTTTAGCAAGTAGAAGCAATTTTATATTGCTCACATTATTGTGTGATTGCATATGTAACATCAACTTTACATCGAAGTAAAAGTAGTAATAGATAGCGCTGCCGATTCAATTTAATCTTTTACTTAGAAAACATTAAATATAATACTTAATATTATAAATATTAAACATTATATATTATATTTTTGATATCTCTAAGATCTTTATTAATTCTTTATTATATTTATTGATTTTTTTATATCGATTATAATTTTTGGAATATAAATTGCTTGTTTTTGTTGAATTTTCTCTTTATTGTTTTAATAGAATTATTAAATTATTGAACCTTCGTGATTTTATTTTGAATATAAATGGATTAATTAACAAAATAGATGTTAATTCGCTAAATTTTTATTAATCTTCTATGGAAGCTGTAGTTTAGAATTGTAGATCAAAAGTTATCTATTGCATGCGAAATATATGTGAAGATAAGTCGAAATGTAAAGAGATTTTTAAAGATAAATTTTTTGTCTTTTGACTTTCTTTTGTATTTTATATGAAATTTAAAGTGCATATTAAGTACTGATCATGAACAGAATGGTCGACATATTTTAATTTTATAAAAGTATATTATCTACATTTTAAAAATTTATTGACTGTATGAATATAATCAAAAGTAATGAAAGCAGTGAAAAGTGATTAATTATTTTGTGAGATTAACAGTCAAAAATCTATATTGTGTGGTTAGCAACAGAGTTAAGATCGAAGTGAACCAACGAAAATCAATTGGTTTACAACGCAGTGAAAGGTGCGCCGTTTCTTTTACCGTTAGCCCTGCCATTGGTACGGTAAAACGGGAGGGGGTCGTTCATCAACCGCTCAATAAGATGAATTCAACGAAAACTATATATAAATTGCTATAAAATTTTACATGAAAATTATACCGACTTATCTTATCGAAAAACTTGATCGCGAATTACGGGGCCCAATACATAAATAAAGTGTACCATATACATGAAACTAAAATTACGTAAATACCTGATATATGATAAGATAATAACAGTGATAAGATAATTTATTGCATTGGATGTACGTTTAACGTTTAAATCAAAATATAATTCGAATAAAATGTAATTCAAAAAACGAACCTGCTGCCATGTTTAATGTAAAAAAAATGTCTAATTACTATTAATGTATTTTTGTGATTTCTTTGTATAATCATACATTTAATCAAATTATTTTGTTAGTAATTTTCAATGTAGTTTATACGTGCTGATTAAAGTTTTGTTATTGCGCAGCCAATCACAAACCTCATAAGCACAGTTTGTGCTTATATTTTTCAATGCTTCGTATGTGTTCGGCCATCTTCGGGACGAATCTCGTGATGAACTCGGGGCCTAAGTGCAGTGTGTTCCACGCTCAATGCGCAAATTTGTCAATGGTATCGGAACTAGTTCGCGCGGTTTCTTTAATTCGTCTTCGGGTTTGAAAATATCGGTGACACTTGATAACGATCTTCGTGATGTCTATAACAATTCGATTTTCAATCGGGGTGTCGTTATTGACTTTGTAGCAATTCATTTGTGTCGGTTGGTTACCTGGCCATTCCAATAAAGCGTCACTTTCCACAACCAACTCGTGCCTCCTCAATCCTTGCAAATCTTAACGTCAGCGTGAAATGATTAGTTCTCTTTAAATAGCAATCGATTTTTAAGGTGACAAACCTTAGAGTGATTTCACAGAAATAAGTGCACTTTTCCGGATCCACAAAATACAATAATTAGCCAAATGGCTTTGCTATATCGAACATATAAAGAACACCAGTCTAAGGAAACATGTTGAAAATAAGGAAGATAAATGACTTTCTGATTATGAAGTATATCATTCATACATCATAACCATCGCAGGGAATGCATTCTGGGCCCGCCATCTTTTGCTCGGTATGCCGATGGATCAGGGCCCTTGGCCCCTTAATCAGGGCCTGATCTCATTCAGGCTCTATAAACAATTTATGCGATAACACATACATACGTTCAATTTGCGAGCATGAAAAATATTTGCTATTTTATTGAGACTTGTCGAACTTCTGCGCCAATCACATGTTCAACAAAGTAGTAACCTTACACGATGCACATCGATCCAGAATAAGGATGCGCGCGCCCGTGTGTGTGTGTACAGTAAACATCAGAATTTTCAAGATACGTTTTGTTTAGTGGATAACCTCTAACACATTGATACATAAATTCGGCAATAATAATAGTTACTAAAATGTTAACTATATATTATTAAAATGTTTAAACAGAAATATGCTTCTGAATGCTACTGTGTTTCAGGAGAGACAAATCTCCATAAAAAAAGAAAAGAGATGAATTAAATGCGGAGAGAGAAAGGATAAGAATCCCAGCAAACATTAACCAACAATAATATAACATCAATTATAATTTCCATTCAACAATATAATAGTTTCGTACAAGATATGTTATATTGCAGTAACGTTATTAAGTGAGAAATTATAATATTGATGTTATGTTATTGTTAGTTAGCGCTTGCTAGGATAATATTAAGCATTAGGCAATTTAGAATAATAGCTTTTTTTCTGTTGGTTTCAACTAAAAACTCATTTTTTCGATGCAAAATGTACTTACGCAGAGTATTTATTTACTTTTATTCATATGTTTTATTTTAAAAAACCAATAACTAAAGAGAAAGTTCTAATACAACTCGTATGGCAATTTTTCAAGAGAATAATAAGAAAAATAGTTTATTCTTATTGTATTTTAATAGTTACTTACTATTGCTTTTGATTTGTAGAAATAAATTTGTAGAGGTCATCTATAAAACAAAAAGTGTCAATTATAATAACTTTGATTACAATGATTTTTATGATTGGAAGTAATCCCTTTTTTTTATTGGCCCTTAACAATATTTTTGTAAGCACAAAGATTAACGATACAGTTTGTTGAAGTATATATATATATATATATATATATATATATGTTTCAAAATGTATTGTAGTTTATTCGTGCAAATATTTTTAGTAGAATATTTTTAAATAATAAATTTTAAGCAAATATAAGTATTATTTTATAATTGTAAAAATTGTAATAAAAATTTATACATATGTTTATTGAAACATTGATTTGTTGATTTATTAAATAAAGCTCCTCTAATATGTTATTATCAATGTACTATGACACATACTATATAGGACAAATATACTTTATGAGTGCAATTGTTAGATTATATTGTGATTATATAACATATAATACGATATTACAATAACATTTTGTGTAGGTAGAGATTATAAAACATTTAATTAACAAGATAAATAAAATTGCAGTGACATTTTACTGTGCTCAATTTCATTATGGAGAAAGCACAAATTGAAGCAGCTAAATCAGAAGCCATTTCCACAGTCTCATATGTAAATAGTACCAATACTAATGAACTATCAAAAGAGAAAGAGGATGAATTATTATTTGGTGCAGACGAAGATGGAGATGATGAAGATGCACTGTCTGATGACAGTTTACGCTTACGATTATCTGATGATGAGGATATTGAACAAGAAGATAATACAACAAATCTGATAAAAATTTCAGAACTTAAATCACAAAATAAAAAAAATGGTACGTAATTATTTTTTACTTGTAATTATAAGAAAATGTTTTATTATCCAATATTATTAGACAACTTCTGGATATTTCACATATGTATATATTTCTTTTAATTTTAATTACTTTATGGAATAATTGTGCAAGTTTAATATGATATTTGTCATATAAGTAAAAATGTAAATATAATAATTTATGTTTTATAAAATATAATCAAATGTGAGTCTTACATTTATTGCGATATTTGTTTTTGCACACATATAGATATTAGCATTTTGTTTGCAGAACAGCTACCCATAAATATAATTGTAGAAAATAAAATTTGCTTAAACACCCAAGAGATTGTAGAAGAAATTACAAAGTCTGATAGCAGAGAATCAGCACCAACGCAGGAGAAACGTAATTCAGGTAATAATATTTATAAAGAATAAAATCATTATCATGAAATCAAATTATTTTTTTGACCAAGAATATGAAAACGTTTAAACTAATTTGTATAATTACTTATAAAATTGTTTGCTTTGAAGATATTAGAAACAAAAGAAAGTCTATTTTATCAAAACTTGTTACAGTAATTAAAATTGCAGAAAGCTCAGCATTGCCTTCAGATGAATGTGTATCAAAAAACAAACGAAAAGGAAATAACGTATATAACCCAGAAAATAACAGTACAACTGTTAGTGAATCTAATAAAAAATGCATTGTCAAATTTAATAACGATTTAGAAATTGCTGAAATAAACAATTTCAGTTTAAATGCAACATCTAAACATGTAAAATTAGAAAATGATAATTCATCTACAAATTATCCAAGTAACATAAAAAATGAAGAAGTAACGATAGACGATGAAGATGGTTTAAAAGAGGCGGTCAACGATAAACCAATAAATTCCACAAATATTTGTAAGTTAAATAAATTAGATGACATAGACGATAATAGTTTTATTATAGATTATATTAAAGTTAATGTTGTTAATAACAAAAAATTTTTTACAGTCACCGTTGTTTCTAACAGTAATAATAACAATTTGAGTGACATAATAAATAAAGTAATAGACAAGGCTATTACAGATGATAAACATCACTCTACACAAAACTCACTCAAAATTAATGATAGTCAAAATTCTATGGATTTAGTTAAATCTCATAATTTTGACAATTTGCCATCTACTAAAGATTCTATTGATCAAGTAAAAAGCAAAAATAAAAATGAGGAACATAAGAACATAAAAAAGAGCAAAAATTCATTGAATACGCAATCTATGCAAGAAGAAACAATTACTATATTAGAATCAGATGAAAATGATTTGTCTAATATAAAAGATAAAACAAGAATAACAAAGAAAACGCGTGATATTAATGAACATATAAACCAATTTGTAGATAAAGTTTATACATCTTCATTACAAACTATTTTACTGGCATCTATTGATGTGGAAGAATCTAATAATGAGAGCGAAACTAAAAATGATTATCCAACTGTTCCAAAAACGAAACGAACAAAAAAAACAAGCAATAAAGTACAAGATGAGGTTATTGAAGAACCTAAACAAGGTAAGAAATATTTTATATATTAAAAGGTAAATATAATATTTTAATAATACATTCCGCGCTGATAATGTAAAATACGTCTGTATGTCACATATGACAGATGCGAAATGTGTTAATTATTATAGTAAGAATTAAAGAAAAAAAGTAATAATTTTTTATTAATAAAATTTTTTTATGCTAGTCGGAATATTTTTTTATCAAATCTTGATTGACGGGCTTATTTTGTTTTATATCTGAACATTAAGGAGTCATGCATCAGTTATACAAAAATTATAAAAATATATATGATTACTTTTAGATCACACCTTATGTGTTTATATATTTAATACGTTTTGTAATAATACCATGAAAACGTGATAGAATTGAAGAAAAAAGATATTCTATTAATATAAAATTAAAAAAAAGTATGTTTTTTTTATAAAATAGGATATTTTCATTCTGTTTTGTTGTATAGCATGTTTTACCACGTTAAATAAGTTTTTATTATAATTCAGTTATAATTTTTGATATGTATATTTGTTAAGATGTATTTTATTTTCATATATTATTATTGCAGAAGCAAAGACGGAGAGCGGACGATATAAACGGAAAACTGCTAGAAATGCGGAAGAGATTATTAGAAAAAAATATTTGAATAGTGACAGCGATTCCAGTGATAGTGCAGAAGAAATTGTGACAACAAATCTCAAATTAAATCAAAACATACGTCTTACATCACCTCCTCCGTTACGTATAATAAAACGTAATTCGGATAATGAAATTTTTAATGGTAATCTAAAGAAATTTAAAACGAGTTCAAAATCCGAGGAAAAGAATGATATCACAAAACTAGCTTTTGTTGAGAAATTTTTCCAACGCGATGTTAAAGAAAAATTACTGAAACTTACGCAAGAGGTAAAAGAATACATCAGAATAAAACATTTTTAACAGCAAAATGTATGATAACCTTTAATTAATTATAATTAATAATTTGCTTAAGGAATTGGAAGAACTTCTGATTCAAAAGATTGTTGAAACAATCACGATGCGTAGTGAAATCGGACAACTTAGAGAACAAGCTCGCATATCGGAAAAGAATCAAGAAGCAATGCGTGGAAAATTGCAACAATTAACAAAACAAGTGAAGGATTTCGAAATGGTTCTAAATCGTAATGCAGCAGACCGGCGTGCGAATGCTGATAAGCTGGTTGCGCCTATAAAAATAAATAGATCCGTAGGCTTACAAGTCAATTTTATAACGGTATTTATTATGAGACATATTTTAATATATTTTTATGATGTTTACTTGAAATTGTGTTAACTGATTAAATGATGTGTATTAGGAACAGGGAATACAGAGCTTACGACAGATACAACAAACACATGTCAAGCCTACGAACGTTCCAAGCACTATTAGTTCTCCAGCTCCTGAGTCAAATAATAATAATACAACAAGTCCAAGACGCGGTGGAATTAAGACAAGATCGCCTCGGCCTGTAGTGACTACACCTACCACTCCTACAGTTTCACAAAGCCCGATACAAACGGCACCTCTTATTTCCACTGTGACACCGGCAGCTTTAGTTGTTGCGAAACCTTTGGAAGCCTCACACACGTTGACACTGCCCAATCAACCTACTGGTGTTCAGCCAATTTTACCTACCGTAAGCAATGAGAAGTTAATAATAATTCAATACATTGTAAAATAGATTATTTCAAATTAATATAAACGTAGTGTTTTATAGCAGTATACTGATTTATTAGATTAATTTGATTGTGCAAATTTTTACAGCCACAGATTCAGCCTCAATCACATCAGACTATTCTCCTAAATGGTAAAATACAAAATCAAGTAAATCGTCCACAATCGATAGTTCCAAAGCCAAGAAATAATGATCTTATCGATCTTACTGATGAAGAAGAAAAAAATAAAAGTAAGTTCACTTTTTTTATATTTACGTAATACATGTATGAGTGAATCATAGATAGATTATAATCTATATTTATATATCTATTTTCAAGCATGATGATAATCGTAAAATTATAATTATTCCATCATTTATATTATTATCTAATATGCGCCGAATTCTGTACATAGCAACAAATGTGAAAGTTACATCCGTAACTACAGCCTCTGTATTGGAGCAGCAAATGAACGTTACGTCGAAACCTGTACCATCCTTCCAAAGGGTACTACAAACAATACCGACAAATGTTGCAATTACGACGCAACAGGCTAGTATAAGGGTGATAGCACCTAACCAGCCAGCACCAACTGCCCTTGTAGTAAGTATTTTCTTCTCATATCGTGAATATATATCTACGCAACAACATCGAAGAAAGAACAGAAATGTTCTTGTGTGTATAATCTTTTTTTCTCTTTAGAATAATATAAATTCGCCCAGATTGGCATATGTGATGCAAAGTGGAATGGGTTCACCGAGACCAGTATTAATAACATCAAATGCAAATCAACAAGTGCAGGTTGGTATAACAATTTTGTATTGTTTTCCCGAGAGTTCTTTTTTGAATAACGATGAAATTATTAAATTTTATTATCGCTTTTAAATATGAAATTTGATAGAATCAATTACAGATTCGACCAGTGACTACATGTAGAGCACCGTTTTCAACTGTTACGTACCAAACAGGTAATCACACTACATTAAAAATATATATCGCACATAATATGTTCTTTTCCACATTATTATAACATTATTAAAACAGCTCTTTTTCACATTATTATAGCACTATAAATAATTAACAAGCATTATAGTGAAAAATAGTAGCATTTCATGCAATTTTATTGCGCTATTTTATGTTATATTATTTTCACTTTACTATTTTGTAGGAGTCTCATCAATTGCGAATGGTACGGTACGTGTAATTACTACACCGGCTTTGTCAAATATACAGATGAGCAAGGTGAATAAAAAAAAGTTGTTTTATCTTTATGATATGTATTTATCAAAGGCGATTATAATTTTACTGTCATTTTATTTCAGCATCCTGCACCATTGCCAGATACTCCAACTTACGGAATAACACCCGGTTGGAAACTTCCACCGCCTGCTCCATCGTTGAAGATTGCAAAAGTCGCAAACGGAAAAGATGGTAAAGAATCTTTCAATCTTACAAGCTAGTGATTCATTAATAAAATATTGTTAAAGTTTTCAAATATATAACGTTAATGTCGTATTATTAGGTATAGTGCTATCGTGGAACATGAATCTGTCAGATAAATATGCAGAGATAGCTAGTTATCAATTGTATGCGTATCAAGAAGTTCCCGGCGTGAATCCTACCACAACACTATGGAAAAAAGTTGGAGATGTGCGAGCATTGCCACTGCCTATGGCGTGTACTTTGACTCAGGTAATAATATCAGTACTATAACTGGTCAAGGTCAGAGTATTGAGCTCCTTGACATTTAAAAATAGCGATATTATAAGAACAATATTTTTATTACAGTTTTCTGAGGGTAACAATTATTACTTTGCCGTCAGAGCGGTCGATACACATTCTAGAAAAGGACAGTACAGTATACCGGGTAATATCTCTTTATAGAAAAATAAAAACATCGAGATCTCCATTTTTTACTTTTACTATTTAATGCATAATTGTGATACAAATAGTTAGTAATTTTATAATAACATGGTATTTTGTGTTGTACATTTAAGTGGATTTGATTTGATAGATAATACAAATTGTCTTCTTTTAACTGTTAACTCTGAATGAAATAACTATTCCCATAAATACTTCCAATCAAACACGTAACGTATCGCATGTAATTCCTGACTTCATGATAAATATCTTGTTCTTTTAGAGATTGATATTACCAGGTGAATTTTTAATTTCATATATTTTTTTAGAACAAAATATTGATGGTATATTCACATATTATTGTAATTTTTTGTAATCATATATTTATGATTAATTTTTATTCAATCATATATTTATAAATTAATAGAATTATATATGCTTCTCTTGATTTCTGTTGTTTATATCATTGCACATATTTAAACTTTTTTGATACACAGAACAGAAAAGAATTCTAGTCAAAAGACTTTTTAAAGACATTTCGACATACAAAATACGTTAACGATATAAGATTGAAGAATTTCTACAGTCTGTACTTTTTTTAAATAGGTACTAACTATTTTTAACTATTGTTTTAATTGTGCCTGTTTCACGATACTTTTAGGCTAATATTTTCCAGTAATAAAAAGGTATAAGTAATTATTCTAAATAAATATAATTTGCTCAATTTTTATACGGCTAAATTTGAATATGTATTTGTAATACTAATAAATATTGTAAAAGGAAAATATCTTTTAATTGAGCGAAATATGAAGTCTGCATCCAAGAAATGTAAATATTGATGTATGTAAATGTATCACTAATTATTATTAATTACATATGAATTATAAGCATAATATGTATAAGCTCAAATTTAAATTAGTTTTATTTATCTCTCGTGTGATAATGTAAAAATAATAAAATTAATCTCATTTTATATTTGTGTGAATAATAAATTTTTTTATACACAAAACCAATTTCCCAATTTTTATGATTTTACTTATATTTTGTATATCTTATTCTTATATAGGACTGTAATAAGAGAGAAAATATATAGAATTTAATTTTAGATTAATTAATCGGATCAATTAATTGTTTAAAAAAATTATATATAAATATATCATTTTTTTAAATTATATTGAATATTACCAGTTGTGATAAATTAAATTACGATTAGTGTTACCAATAAAGAGAATAAAATTCCCTAATAAAACTTACCTATGCTTCTCTTTGAAAAAAACTAATAATTAATAAGATATTTAGAATAAGGAGAAATAATTAATAATATATTTTACGTGCTCAGTATCGATTGATCGCTTCTCCGAAGATTCGTTTGTCTTAGGGTATATTCAGACAAACTTGCATTGCGCATAAGCATATGCAATAAGCGCATGCAAGTTGTGCGAATATATAATTAACTATACTGTTGTACTTTTGCATTTACGACCTACTGCAACTTCAAAGACTTACTATAATTAATATAAAACATTAATTATATAAACATAACTATTAATGCAAAAATATAAATATAAATTTAAAATAAAAACTGACGTCAGAAAAGAGCTCAATTCTTCAAGAAGGCATATGTTGAGTTTTTAAGATGGAAAAAGAGAGAAGAAAAACAGTGCAGAAAGTGCAAGTAAGATAGATAGACATCGACGACATATCAAGTCGCTCCGACAGCAGCACGACGGGACGTCACTAGTTTCGAAATTGCGTTTTTGCGGACTCTTCCGCGGTGCCTCCAGTTTCACTGACTCTCTCTATCTCCACGTCCCATCGTTTCCTAGCAATGTGTGATATTTTGTATGTACGATATGCGCCAAGTGAGTCATACGCGGGGCGTAATGTTACGTCAAAACAAAAACAATCCCGCTACTGCTAATTGTGAAGATACCGCAGCTGCGACAGTGCCCTTCTGGCTGGTTTTTCTGAGAGGAAAAGCGAATAAGGAAGCGGGGGCGGAAGTAGTCCCGTGGGTCGGATAATTTATGAACGCGCCACGGTGTGTGTATATACAGTGTGCGCGACGGCGAAGGTGAAAATGTTGATGAAGACCGCAGCGCGCTGACACGACGGGCGGCACGACGGGAGTGGGACGCGTTTTGCGAATACAGTGAAAGCGGCAGCGACTGGGACGATCATCGTGATCGGTGAGATTGTTAATAGTACGAGAGAAGAGTCGCGCGATGATGTCCGCGATGTGCTTGCGCCCCATTGCAACGCTGCGACCATCGTTAAAATACCACCGCGTTTCGTTTTGCAGACGTCGTTAATCAGGTGCCGACGTCGTTTACGCATCGTGTGTTTATTCACGCCGTTTACTCGCTCGTCGTGCCGTTTATTCCGCGCTTCTTAACGCGACGATATTTCGCACATTATCACTCCCCAGGTGTTGAAGGTTGATCAGCTGTTGTGGGTGTTCCGCTCATAATATCCAAATAATTGGTGATTTCCAGTTTCGAGGATTTAACGTCGAGACTCCGCTAAATGTAATGTCAACGGCACAGGTGTGAAAATTCGCTTGGAAATAAGAACATTTAACAGAGCGTGTCAGAAGCTTAACACGCACGTAGAATATGTGCAGGAGGTAACGTTGAACGACGAGGATTATGACGAACGGCGTAAAGATCTATCTGTGTACGCGCAACTCCGGGATACACTGTGTGAATTCGTCATGTACATATGATCATCCGAGTTCATGCGTTCTCTTACTGTCAGCGGTGAGCAAACGACGACGGGCGCGGAAGGCGGCGGCTCATCGCCAGGAGATCAACAAACGCAGTCCTCGTCGTCCGTAACCGGTAGCGACGGTGTTCAGGGGATGCCTAGCCTACACTCGCTCGTCTTACGACGAGCTCCGCTAACAGATATGGGTGCCGCAACCAGCTCGGTGACGTCTGTCAATCCTCCCGCTAAAATCACGACTAATCAGAAAAAGATTGACAAGACGAAACTCAGCGGCATCAGGCTACCTCTGATACGCAAAGAAGCTAGCGTAGTGAATCTCTCTTTAACAGAGAGGACTGCACCGGGAAAAGAGGCGGATGCACCACTTCTACGACCTGAAAGTAGCGCAAGTCTGGAAGCACGCGGCGGCAGTTGGATGAACCTGGGTCCTGGTGTACTGAGAAAATGCGAAACCGCAGTAGGATTAAGCACCTCAGCACTGGAAGGAAGACCCATAAATCGTAGTAGAGTCTGCTCTCGCTGCTCCAGTTTGTTATCCCTGGCGTCCAGCTCGCGTTATAGCTTGGCTGCTGGCAACTTTGTTCCTGCTGGTTCGCAACAGACAATCGGACGAATATTTTGTAAACTGTGTCTCGTCGATACTTCTCTCTCCAAAACATGTAAAATCGAGGGATGTGGTTGTTCCTATTGTAAAGATGTAAGTCAAAGTTTTCATAGGAAATCACTTGTTACACTTGAGAAAGATGAGTACTTTTGTTATGTACACAGAGATACTTATGGCTCTATCTTTTAGTGCATGCGTGCCTATGTAGAATTTGAGATTGAGGAAGGTGCGTATGAAATTAGTTGTCCAGATGCTCAGTGCGATCACGGCGCAATACTATCTTTGAAGGAGATATCCAGCCTTGTCAGTCCAGAACTTATGGAGAAACATTGCAAGTTTCGTTTAAATAGAGGTAAGTGACGTTGACTTTGCATCTTTTGGAATGCAATGTATATATGCAAATGATGCAGTTTCCTGCCTAAGATATTTGTGATTGAAATCACTTATATTATATATATATATATTAATAAATTTTGATATGATTTGTACACAGATGTATCAATGGATAAAGGTCGTGCATGGTGTCCTCGAGCGGGTTGTGAAACGATATGTTCAATAAATAGCAGCAATGGTGGAAGCGGCACTCCTTTAGGTCCTGTTCACTGTCCCAATTGCTCCACAGATTTCTGCTCAATATGTCGGGAACCTTGGCACAATGGGCCCTGTTCAGATCTTCCGTTAGGGATACCATTCGGCAGCGATCACATTAAATGTTGTCCTATGTGTTCTGTGCCGATAGAAAAGGATGAAGGTTGTGCTCAAATGATGTGCAAAAGATGTAAACACGTGTTTTGCTGGTACTGTTTAGCATCCTTAGATGTGAGTATTTAAAGAGATATAAAAAAAAGTATGCGGTTTAAAAATTTTTGACATAACTTCGCATATAAGAATACTGATGATATAATTAATTAATATCTTTAAATTTTGTTGCTACCGTAGGATGACTTTCTGTTGCGACATTACGACAAGGGACCATGTAAGAATAAATTGGGTCATTCACGTGCGTCCGTGATATGGCATCGAACGCAAGTTATTGGGATCTTCGCTGGTTTTGGCCTACTTCTACTTGTCGCATCGCCCTTGTTATTATTAGCGGCACCTTGCATCGTATGCTGTAAATGTCGCGTTTGCGGCTCTTCCAGATTGGAACAGGAGGAAGGTGACACGGCAACATAGAACCTTCCAAACTTTTTAATCGAATCACGGTTAATCATTTCTTTGAGCTAAAATAGATATTTTTCCTAAACTTCCACATATGGGAGATAATATGATTGGCAACTTATATAGATATACATTGCATTTTGTTAAGTTTACATATTATTTTATTTTTGCGCGTTACTAGAGGATATATTATTATAGAGAAGCAGAATATGTATATATATTTCTTGTCAGTCAAGCATATTGTGTGATTACCTATATATTTATATTTTACTTAGAGAGACGTTATTTGCACAGATAAGAGCTAGTGCGAATTGTATAGTTATAATTTGATTGTTTTCCTGATGTACACTTATTTTATAGTCACTTAATTTTTATATGATGATTAATTTTATAAAATAAATTTTATGATTAAACTCGTATGATAATTGTGATTAAAGCAAGTCTAACGATTTACAAATACTCATAATGAATTATTATACAAGAACATTCCAAAAATTTATATATATATATGTCGCACATCAGATTTATTATACTGCCCAAAAATATTATAAACTGTGCTGTGTAAATTACGCTTTCATTAATTTATACATTTATTACCAAGATACGAGCTTAATAATTTTTGTTTTTGTAAAAATGCCGATTCTTTGATTCACCAATATTAAATTATTCAATATTAATATAACTGAATGTATAATTAAATTATAATATTATCTTAAAACACAGTGTATATCTCTATATGTGTGCCCACGTCGAATTACAAGGCTCAGCTCTATATTTTTATTGTAAAACGAATCTTAATCATCAAGTATTAGATTGTACAATATTCTATTTTCGTTATTTTAATTTATGGGTGCTTTCGTGTTTATTTTTGTGATTTAATCGTATGTACATTACATGTACATTAATTTAGAACGAGTGACAAATAGTAGGTAAATATAACTATTATATAAAAGATATCTCACAATTATGCATTTTATCATCGAAATTGAGAGTGTTGTTATTATGTATTTAACACGTTTGTTATTGATCGATGTGTGAGCTGTGCAGTTAACGTTTGACATTAAGAATCTATAAATCAATATGTGCCATGTGATTGCGAGATTCTACAGAATACTTCCGAGGAGCTAGAGACCTGTAATAAAGAAAATTTGTACCGAAACGTGTTAATTACATCCACGATAATCATCATAATATGCATCATGAGTGAAATTTAGATTGTTAAAGATCATGGATATGAATAATCAACTTCGGACAATAGTTATATGTTATTTCTGCGAAACAGGTTCTTACCATGATTAATAAACCATATGAATATCAAATAAACGACAAAAAATTATTACATATATGTATCAATTACATATATGTGAATTATGTAATGAATATATGTGGTATTTTGTATATATAATAACTGACGCATATAAGACAGATATACATTTGGACGTTCGAAAAAACGATGCATTTTTCATAAACATTATAAACAATTCAGCAGACCATTGTGTTATATGTATAAATTACTGAGTAGCTGATTTTTCGCTATTTTACGTCAGAACTGTTAAAATATCTCATTTGTTGTATTATTAATATCGTATGTAAATATAAAAAGACACATACACATATACGTGTATGGAATTATGCATTTGAGTGTATGTGCACTCGTGTGTCAAAAATAAAAATGTAATAAAATAAGAGTATCGCATATTATGTTTGTCTCTTCAAACAAATTCCTTTATCTGCTGATTTATCAATAGTTTGCTGCTACTAGTGTAGCTAAGCAATAAGCAAAGGAGCATAAAAATATAAAATATCGTCCAAAATTCATTTTAGACTCTTGTGTAAAAAAAATTCGTTAAATATTTATGAACTGTACATATACACAGTTCATATATATATATATATATATATATATATATATATATATATATATATATAA